ACAACTCTTAATAAGCGCGAACGAGCGTTAAACTAATTAACAGGCAGATTACAAAACCGTGTCAATTTTCTGACCGTCACTCCAGGAAACCCGAGCGAGATTAGCTTAGATATACCGATTTTAAACCACTAGTGGTCGTTCAACCTACATCACTTCGGTAGAGAAGCATATGAGGTAGCGACATTTCTGAAAATCACACTGCCGTTGGTAAACACGTCTCCAAAACAGGGGTAGTTATAGCACGCATCACAACTCCACGCGCTCGCGGTTTGGCACCAGATTTCATAGTCTTGGTGCCCACGCAAAACGATGCATGCGACGGCGAGACGTCGTCACATTTTGTGGAGCGTGATGGAAAAGAGCAGGTTTCCTTAGATTTGCTCGTCATTTTTATTTTTTTCCGCTTATAAGTTTGGGTTTCGACCTCGGTACCAGCCGAATCCTAAATGCTATCAGAATGGTCACAGCAAACAGACATTTCTGTAGTGCAGGGGGATGAACTCGGTGGCCCCGTATGTAACCAGTTGCTAAGATTCCCAGCTGCCTCTTGCTTGAGAAAACCTAGGCTTCCAAGACACTCTAAAATAACACTAACCATCTTGACAAATGCAACTAAGAAATGTATCAGGTACTGCATATTCTTGGCTATAAACCGCATAGTACTACCCGTATGGCGGTCATTACAGCTGTAAGGAACATTCCCACTGCTGGCCAAGAGCACGTACTTATTCAAGATTAGGCCGGTACATGATTCAATAAATCACGGGGCAAAGCTGATCTACAGTAAAGCAAATATTCTTATTTTATTATTATGAATCAATAACAGAAATCACTTCAGCGTAAAGAATGCTTTTCCGTAAAATCTCATAAGACCCAAACGGTTCATAGCACTGATTGTGGGGAAAGCGTCAACTCGGGCTGGGATTGACTTCTGGGCTATTTGAACGATCAAAACCGATACCTTGAGACAGGGATACAGATGGTAAACCAAGTGAACTAAATAAACATGTATCCACAAAACTCAGTAGTCTGAACTAATTAATTAGGTAAGGTAACAACCAAATTGCTAAGTAACAATGTCAGTTGACCAAGGTAGTAGTATGGGTCGTATGAATGGTTTTTGTACACATAATTCCGACTTCAGATGGTGGATGTAGATAGCCTCGGCGATGGATAAGAGCTGTTTGCTGAATCCTTGAGAGAAGTTTTCAGGTAGTGAGTAGATGACTTTGAAGCCATTATGGGAAGCTTTATGGTCACACTCAAGGAGGTTGGACGTGATTGAGCTGTCTGAGAACCTCATTTCGCCTTTGTGAAATCATGCCGGGATGTGCTCACGAATCTTGTGAGCTAGGCGCCTCGTAGTGGGACCCACGTATCGTGCACCACAGGAGCACGAACATTGAACGGGTCAACGACCGCAATCTATCCTTCAAGGATTTTGTAAACAGCGGCTTGATATGATAAACCATTCTCAGGCCAGCTGCGAAATAAGTTTCCTCAACAGCATCTTTCAGATGTCAGCTGCAGAATCGCCCTTAAATGGCATATGTGTGGAAAGTTCTTTCTCAGGAGCAATGCTCCTAGGTGGCTTCTGATTGCGTTCCTTCATGATAAAGTTATCAGGATAACCAGTTTCCCTGAGGGCGTCGCTGATTCTCTGTAGATTTTCGTTGACAGTATCCGGTGTACAAATACTGCGCCCCCTGAAGACGAGAGATCTGATTAAACTGCTAGATGATTTGGTCTTAATGTATTGGTGACAATGGTGAAATGTGCCGTCAGATAAACGGAGTGGTCATGGGATCTTTGGGGCCGCTGCTGGGTGATATTTCCATGGCGTAGTTGGAATATGGCTCACTTAGAACGCACATCGGTGGAACCGAAATGTACTTGCGGCGTGTTGATGTCACCTACGTACTTTGCAAATACGAAAGGCATGCGGAACAGTTGATGAAAGCTTTCAGTGACGCACACGACTATATCTACTTCATCTGTGAACAAGAATTCGACAACCGGTTAGCTTCCCTGGATGAAGAATTATCCGTAACTCGGACGGATCGTGCAGCAGAAAGCACACAGGGACTGGGAAGTACACTAACTCCCACAGCACAGAATCTCTACAGAATAAGAGGAGTTTAAACAGATCTCTCGTCTTCAGGGGGCGCAGTATTTGTACACCGGATACTGTCAACGAAAATCTACAGAGAATCAGCGACGCCCTCAGGGAAACTGGTTATCCTGATAACTTTATCATGAAGGAACGCAATCAGAAGCCACCTAGGAGCATTGCTCCTGAGAAAGAACTTTCCACACATATGCCATTTAAGGGCGATTCTGCAGCTGACATCTGAAAGATGCTGTTGAGGAAACTTATTTCGCAGCTGGCCTGAGAATGGTTTATCATATCAAGCCGCTGTTTACAAAATCCTTGAAGGATAGATTGCGGTCGTTGACCCGTTCAATGTTCGTGCTCCTGTGGTGCACGATACGTGGGTCCCACTACGAGGCGCCTAGCTCACAAGATTCGTGAGCACATCCCGGCATGATTTCACAAAGGCGAAATGAGGTTCTCAGACAGCTCAATCACGTCCAACCTCCTTGAGTGTGACCATAAAGCTTCCCATAATGGCTTCAAAGTCATCTACTCACTACCTGAAAACTTCTCTCAAGGATTCAGCAAACAGCTCTTATCCATCGCCGAGGCTATCTACATCCACCATCTGAAGTCGGAATTATGTGTACAAAAACGATTCATACGACCCATACTACTACCTTGGTCAACTGACATTGTTACTTAGCAATTTGGTTGTTATGTTACCTAATTAATCAGTTCAGACTACTGAGTTTTGTGGATACATGTTTATTTAGTTCACTTGGTTTACCATCTGTATCCCTGTCTCAAGGTATCGGTTTTGATCGTTCAAATAGCCCAGAAGTCAATCCCAGCCCGAGTTGACGCTTTCCCCACAATCAGTGCTATGAACCGTTTGGGTCTTATGAGATTTTACAGAAAAGCATTCTTTACGCTGAAGTGATTTCTGTTATTGCTGTATATTATTGAAACTCTACATGATTCATGAAACCACCGTTTACGCACATCGCATTGCAGGCTATTCTACGTATTGGTGACTGGCTTTATACTGCTCGTTTTTCCACAAATATAAACGGCGTCAGCCTTAGGAAGACTTGCGGACCCATCAGTTCTTTACGATCATGATTTAGCAAGTGCGATTCAAGACGGAAGGATAAAGAGGATGGAAGCAAGAAAGTGCTGCTCCGGTTTATGGTGGCCAACTATGCAGTCGGCGAGAGCACCAACAGGACATATCAACCGTAACACATTTGTGATGATCTGAACTCACCAAACCTGTAACAATGTTCAGAAAATGAGCCAGACGAGCTTGTGTATAGCAGAACAAGGCGAAGTTGCTGTTTCAAACGTAAAGCAATAAGGGACGAGAAATCCGTATTTCCAAAAACCCGGGTAATGCGGGTGAACGCAAAATAAACACTCCAAATTTGTTAGAACTTCCAAGCCTCTTTGGGTAACAAGATAATCGAAAAAGTTAATGTTTCTGATTAGTGTCCTTTTAAAACACCGTTTTCGAGGAAAATGCCCAATTCGGTGAAACACGACAAACGTCGATGCCAAGATCAACAAAAGAGCGGAACAATCGAACAGGGCCAAAAGTCCGTATGAACAAGATTCCGAGTTGTTCGGGGATTGCGTAGCCTCAGAGACTAAGCCTCTTAGGATCTGGCAGGCACAACGGAATTAATCAGGTATAAGAGGGTGATAATCAATCCAAAGATATTGAATAGATCAGATATCAGTAAGGTCCGAATTTGCTTGGAGCGAAGCGGCGTACTAAAGCTTCAACTTCTCGAAAGTAACAGGCAGGTAACAGCAAGGCAAGCAGCGCGAAGCCCGCAGATGATGTCTCCGGGATAAGCAAGAACTTACGAAGCCTTCTAAATCACAAGAGATACTGACAAAGTCAAGTCTTATGATAAGTGTTATTCGAAAACTTTTCCCACGGAACGCTTTTCAAGAAGTAAACCTTGAACGGTGACAAACAACAAACACGCCGTGTCCGGAAAGACGTCGCCTGTATAGAAATGGTGCAAATACTGGTGACTAGGATGGTTGATGGTCAGGGTGAAAAACCGTACGTTGAATGCCTAAGGAGTTTAGATCTATATTCAGTGGGACGGCGTAGACTAAGACGGGACCTAATAGAGACTTATAAAACCATGTAAGGTTTTAGTGGTATCCAGCATACTGAACAGTTTGTGCTAGCCGGGTAAGATCAGCTAAGAGAACATCAACTGAAACTCAAGCATCAGAGATCTAGGTTAGATAACAGGGCGAAATCTTTTTTGAATCGTATAATCAATGGCTGGTATAAGCTACCCCAGCATTAGTGGAATGTAGCACCGTAGAGACTTCTTTTCAAATGTGAAGAGACTTGGACGTCGAAGTGCCGGGGAAGATCTCTGCCCACAGAACACATTAACCTTGTAAACCTTTCAAACCTTTCCACTGCCTACCTGTTTTCCCCATGTTGTTGTTGTTGAACTGTGTTGTGGAACTACCAATTGTATATTGGTCAGGTATTGAATAATAATAATAATAATATAAACAAAACAGGATGCTGTTTAGGGGAAGATTTGTTTCTTCCCTGAATACCTGACCTGACAACTTTGCTAACGATCGTTGACACACTTCGACGTTCTTATCAGCAGTATTGTGCTGTGTTCATTGTAGTTTCGTGTATTTTCGAGTAATATATTTGTTTACTCTCTCTTCTTCATGAGCTTTTTTTAACTAGTTTAGATTATGTAAGCTTGCTGACCTTTTAACATGTCTATGCCGACAACAACCCTTTCCGTTCCAATTTTCGGACAGTTTTTAGTTGTGGTTTAAGTGCCCAGTGTTTCCTTTTAATCGTCGCTTTTTGTTGAAAGCACATGTGAATTCCACAATCTTTCCTTCAGGTCGATCATTTCGACTTTCAGAATTAATGCAATGGGGTTCCGTGAAAATTCTATACGCCTTTTCCCTGTATTTGTGGGCTTGACACTGGCTGCGGAAATTTCAAATTTTATTTCATTTGTGTCTCCGTCCTGGATCCAATCGATTCCTGAGGCACACAGCCATTTCCAAAACATCGGTTTATGGACAGCGTGCTTTAACGGCTACATGCGGCCAACATATTTCGGAAAGGCTTATTATGGTTGTTATTATATATATTACGTGGGATACGACGGCATAAGGGATTGGATTAACCCCGGTGAGTACTCCTATCGGACGTTTGCTCCGAAACACAGTATCAACTATAGTAGTTTGTTTAGATTAATCAGTGTTCTATAACAGCTGTTACATATTCCTAAACGCAACCGTGGTAAAGACTGAAATGCGGAGCAGTTCTTAAAAGTATTCAGTGGTGAACTTTTTGTGTTTATTCGCACCATTTTTGTTCGTATTGTGTATTCGGTCTGTCGTGAAACACTTCTTAACCAGTGATGACAGAAGCGTCGTTTGCACCGTGGGATGATTTCTGCACATTGGTGTAAATCTGCTTAATATACAATTTTGATGACATTGTGTCTGCCGTTCTGCATTACCAAATATTGTTTCAACGACAGGTTCTCAGTGTTGCATGTCAGAATTGTAACTGGTCTGTAATGTTGGTAGCCATATTTTTCTTTTGGTCAATAATTTGAACAGCCCGTTTCCGAGTTACAAGCTTTTCCATTAAAACAGTGAAGTACTGCACTCCGTTGTGGACGATCAAGTGTCTTATGTTTACGTATATAGCCACGATGCCATCGCATGTATTAAAATATTTATACACTCTGTCTATTAAAATGATTAACTCCCATTGCCAGAAACACTTCGTGTCTTACCAAATATAAGCAATTTTATTAGTGTTCTCGTTATTTATTACCCCAAACATTCTGGGCAGTTCTATGTAAAGTTTACATGTCAGTTAACAGACACTTACCTTAATTATATGCTGCATTTTTCGATTGATTTTGTTAAAGTTACACATCCATGCATTGTCTAACGTTTGACAGGACCTACTTCCAAGGTCTAGATAGCTCCATCTCGGCAAACCATTTTGGGTTACCACCAGGCAATTCAAGTCCTCTTGCATAATCAGGAAAGCTTTTAATACTCAGTACCATTCTTGAATGCTGCGAGGATTGTTCTGCACGTTTTGATCTCCACGTAGCTGGCAAGCATCATCATTATACACGTTAGCTAGAGATGTGAAACACATCAACTATTGTTCCGTAATACATAAAAGAAAAAAGAAAACAAATGCAACAGTTGAATGCCAGCTGAACTACCAGCAACGTGTAGGCATCCTTCCTGAAAGCTAGCGTCCAGCTACTAGGTAACAAAAAAATTATTATGTAAAATTATGTTATGCTACAAACTGAGATCGTGGTTGGAGAGGAGGCTAAAAGAGGTGGAGAGGAGCAAAAAAAACGCACAGCAGGAACGCCACTGAGGTCGGCTCCTAGCCAGGTCATCAAATGTCTCTAGCCAAAAGTCTTCATCGCCTTACGGTCCCCAACCAGAGAGCCGAGACGCTCCAACCGAGGCCGGCTTCAAAGTGATGGCTTTCATTCCTCTCGACAAAGTCATCGCTTGGCCACCCCTCCTCTTCTTCCATCCACACCACCGGCGAGTAAACAACACGTCGCTGGAGCCGGTGGGCTGGCATGCGTAACACGTGGCCGAGCCTGGTGTGTGAAATAACGTTGCTGACTGGTTCGTTTCCTTTTCTTGTGCCGTAAACAAAGCGTCGAACACGTTCGTTGTTCACGTGGTGTTCCCAGCAGATTTGAGCCAAATTTCGAAGGCACCGATGGTCGAACGTAACTAGCCTCTCTATGTCCGCTGATCTAAGGGCCCAGGTTTCGCAATCGTACGGTAAGGTCGAACGTTCCGTTGCATTTTACACTCTACCTTTCAGGGCGAGAGTGATGTCGCGCCGCCGCCGTAGGTGGCGAAGACTAGCAAATGCACCTCCATCTTCGTTATACAATTCGTAATCTAACCTTCGATCCCAAGAGCGCTGATACAACTGCCCAGGTAGCTGAATTTCTGAACGACTTCTAGCTGATCCCCACCAAGGGTCAGCGCAGGAGGCGATCCCTGCTAATCTTGAAGGAAGCTTTTGCACTTTGATGGTGCAAAGTAAACCCCGAAGCGGCTGACAGTCAGTGTTAATCTGTCCAGTGCAGCTAGGCACGTCTGGAAGCTGTCACAGCTGAGAGCAATATCATCTGCATACTCAAAGTCAAGAAGTCGTTCTCCTGGGAATAGCTCCACATCTTCTAACTCGTGTCCTGTGAACGCGACTTCCATGACTTCCTCAATGGCGAACTTGAAGAGGAAAGGTGAAAACATGCATCCTTGTCACACACCGCTGGAGGTATTGAAGGGCGGCGACAGCTTGCCTTAAACCCTCACTCTGCCCGTGCTACGCAAATATAATGCTTGGATAATATTTACGTGTTTCTCGGGCACATCGATCATCCCAATCAAAGGCACCTTGGATGTCCAAGAACACGACTACGGTGGGTCGCCAATAGGTGTCGGTGCTCCAACAACTGACGCAAAGTGAAGATGTGCTCTACGGAACCCGGCTTGCTCTTCACGAATCTGGATTTCACGGTGTCATTCAGTCTGTGAAGGATTACAGAGGCAAGTACTTTGGAAGCGAATGAGAGCAGACGGATTCCGCTATGGTTGCCGCATTCCGATCGCGAGCCTTCTTTAAAGGTCGGAACAATAACGGAGCGGCTCCAGTCACTTGAGATAGTTTCCTGCTTCCACAGTTTCAATAGTAATTCGTGTAAATCATCGCCAAGAGTAGGGCTCTTGAATTTAAAGAGGGCTAGATGTAGATCATCTGGTTTCGCGGCGTTGTTCACCTTTAACGTTCCGGTCTCACGTTTGACTTCTGGGCGAAAGCGCGGATCCAAAGGGACAGTCCAAAGAGCAATGCGATCACTGGCCGGTGAGGAATCGAACAATCCCGGCCGATTACATTGTTTTTCCAAATGCCCAGCCCAACGCTCCAAACGTTTTGACAAATTGTGGATAGTCTGTCCACTCTCGTCTTAAATTGTTTCACTAACACCAGGTCTCCTGCTGCCCGTTTCCCGTATCAGACGGAATAACTTACAATGGTTACCAAGGACAGCGGCCACTTCCATCTCTGACGCATGAAGAGAGTACCAAGGTTCGCGGTCTCTTTTCAGGCCAGCACAGAGTTTTGCCCGGAACTCTTTGCTAGTTTCATTGTATTCGCTTCCAGCCGGAAGATGCCGGCGAGCATCGACATGATCCAGTGACAGCGAAGAGATCCAATGTCCATGTTGGCTAATAGACATACCACATGAGGATTTGCCCGCTGCTAGTAAGGTATGGTGAACATGTGACCAGTGACCTTCAATTGACTTCAGCGAGCGCTTACTCAACCCGCATGTCAGCGTATATCGATACGCATTCAGAACAGCTAGCTTAGCCAGTTCACTGGTGTCAATGCGCTCACAGCGTCGTCGTGGGCAACCACCAAAACGCATCCGCAGATCAGCACATGCAATTGCATGGTCGATGTCCACATATGTGCTCCAAATCGAACGACAGTTCTGGACGCAGCCTCTTCATCGATAACTTATCGCAATGTGATCGATTTGCGTCCATAGCTAATTCGAGGCAGGTGGACGCCATGTCACCCTCAGGTGGGTGCTGTGTCGGAAGTTAGTGCTCGCAAGAAATAAGCGAGCATCTTCACACAGATGAAGTAACCGCTCACTGTTATCATTACGGGAGCCTACACCATGTTGTCCACCCAGATGCAGTTCATCAGTGGACAACATTCCGACTTGTGCGTTCAGATCCCCTGCCAGCACAACAGTGTACGTGCTTCTTCTGTGACGAAGGAGCTCGTTCAGTTAATGGTAAAGTCCTTTTTTACCGAATCATCACTAGAGTTAGTAGGGGCGTAGACAGCGATGATGAATAGACACCTGTTAGTCCCGCGCGATTTCGAAGCCTTTAACGAAACAGCCAGTAGGACGGCACACATCCGGCTCCTGATTGGGATCCAATCAGGAGCCGGAGCAGCTTCAGCCCGGGGGCTCAGATTAAGACCAACACCGGCTTGGCCGGTACTCGAAGCTGCATCGTCACCGGATAGGCGCAATGAGAAAGTGCTGCTGGTGTCACCTGAAGGGGATCGCAGAGTGAGCACAGAGCTCGAGTCTTGCAGGCGAGTCTCCGATAAGCAACATATCTCGATGGAGGGAGTCTCTTAAGTTCAGGCAAGTGCTGCCCGTTGACTGCTTTGTAGCAATGTGTGTGCATTGAGGTATGCCAATCTGAAGGAGGATCGAGGGCTCCAAATAGAAGCCGATGAACTGGGGTGGACTGCTTGTTTGTACATGGGCCTGTCGGTGGAACAGATGTGACACTCCGTTTTTGCAGGTAAGTTGAAACTAGAAGGTAAACGCCTAGCAAAGCATGTTGGGGGAGGGCCAAGAATCGGGGTATTGAAAACTAGATGGATAAAAATGAAGTTGGAATAAGACCATAAGGATGAAAAAGCGTTAGAGGGTGAATAAGAAGACGGGAAGGCTTGAGCAGCAGCATCTGAACCCCTATCCACTCTGCTCGATGCAGCAGATAAGGCGCCGTTTGTTATCCTGTGACGGCCAGATCATCAGGAAACCGTTTGAAAAAAAATTCATTGTATTGCGTGAGTAGCATACTGTCAGGTTGCTTATGCCTAGAAAGGAGAACGATTAAGGTTCTCAACCAAAGCCTTTGACTCTAAAACGTGACCGCAAGGCAGCGGGTTTGGCGTTGGGCTACAAGAAATCCGTTTTAAGGATTAAGGATTCACCCGCATTTCAATCCCTAACCTGGAGGACCAGGAAACTGAGTTTGTCTGGCCTTTAACAATTGACCAATTTGGTATGAGTGGCTGTGAAGGTGCAAAAAATCATCATCCAGCATAGCTCAATGGATCTCTGAAGCACACAAACCATCTCACCACGGTAAGGTCCAGCCTCATTGCAACGGACAAGCAAGAATATTGACAACGATTTGCTTTTTCTACGTAATTATCCCAGCCGTGTATACATGCCTGATATCGTTGATGGTAGCGTCTAGTACCATATGGACAAAATTATCTTTCCTGGTTCGTCAGCCGGCCTTTACCGCCTTCAGTTACTCGGTAGGTCAAAACTGCTTGCATTTTAGAGCATA